TCAGCTAACTATTTTTGTGGAACCTCTTGTGCAAGTTTTTGCCGAGGTAAGCCATTTCTCACGTTTATTTTTATGCTACCCGAAAGTCTAATTTTTTGGCAGAGCGATCAGACCTGAGGGGTTTATTAAGACGCATAACATTTTCATGTATTTTTCACATGTAAGATTCAGGATAAACGGGAAAAATACGTGTAAAATACATAATTCACTTGTATATTTCACTTTAGAATGTATTCCAGCTACGTATCATTTCGCTTGCCGGATAAGCTGCGAGGCTGAAAAGTCGCTGGGATATTCTACTTTCAAGTGCAGTCTTAATTCTGCTTGGAAGTTAAATTCCCTGTACAGTACTGTTACTTATTTCTCTTCAAACCATTATTACCTTTAATTTTATTTTGGTAGTTTAATAATATGGTACCCTCTACGGGTTCCGATCACTTGGCTAAGTGTCACTTCTTACCATTATAATAATCTCACAAATTTTCTAATTTTCATTTCGTACCTTCATTTTTCTTTTCATTTCATTCCTTTTTATTAAAACTTTCTATTATTCGTGCATTTCGAGGTGGCACTCAAAATGTTTTTCACTCCATTGCTTTCTCCGTCATAGCTGAAATTCGCTCTTCTGCTTTCCTCAGTGACCATGTTTCGCATTCAAAAAATTTCATTGATTTCGTTTAGTGGCTTCAATATCTGATTGATTTTAGACGATAGCCCAAAAGGAGCATTATTATAAGTATCATAAGAATAAGCGCTAAGTGGCTGGGGGGCAAATTGGACCCGTTAAGTTTTGGAATCTGTAGTGTTTGTGGAAAATAATTTAGCCGAGATAAGACATTTCGGTCCATCAAACACCACTTCTAGGTAATACTGCATTTTGGATGATATTTATTAGCCTTAAAAAGCATTATTAACGCTATTCCAAAAGTAAGTCTTAAGTAATAGTGAAGTAAATTGGGCATGTTAAAAATTAGAGCCTGTAGCATACACAGAAAATAATTTAGCTGAGATAAGACATTTCGGTCCATTAAGCACCACTTCTAGGTAATACTGCACTTAAAATGTACATGAATTGGTAGTGCTTACTGCAAGTCAGCTCGTAATTGGACCTAAGACATCCTCTAATAGCAATTTAGGGTTTTGGAGAAAATATGAACAAAAGATGAGAAAGGGTCGTAAAGAATTATTAAAGTTGATAAGATTTTTCGAAACCTTAAATTAGTGGGAGATTTTTCGAAATTATTCCTATCATTTTAGGATGGCAGCGAATTAACACCACAACCATCACGGGAATTTTTGGAGATACGTTCGATCGTTGAGGAAAGTATGTATGCTGTGAATGCAGCCGAAGATGCATGTTTTATTATACCGGGATTCGATACACTTAACATGGATCGCTTCCACGCTGGCCAACGATCGCCTCTGAAAAACTTTAATGCGGTTGCTGCTACTACTTCTTTCAAAAACAACGTGCTCCTATTTGTATTTGCCGGCGCAAATATTCTAGATGTGAAGGCGGTTGTTGCAAGGCAAGTACCATATTTCGGCCTTTTTAGGAGAAGTTTTAGGTTTTCTTTAATTCACTCTCTTTTTTGTACTGCTTTGTTGCCTCTTTCTCTTTACTGCTGTCTCCAGTTCTTGCGTCGAATTCCTGACTAGTACCCCTGGTCCCGTTCTCTATTCTGCTCCCAAATACTGCCTCATTGTTTCCAGTATTCGCAATCTCGGCTCCTTGTTTTAAGGAAAATTTCTGTATGGTGCTGTGTTCTGCTGAATCGAAAGCCTCTTAGAAACGGACGAACAATGGACAAAAAAGAAATTTTGTATTACTTTTCCTATGTTTAACTAGCCGAGTGACAGACTTGATCAGTGACTAAATCCTGTCTTTTTTTCTCCTTGAGCTTTCTTCAAACGTTTTTTTTTTTCAATCTGCTAATTAGCTAATTGCATGAAAATGTAATTTTCTAGCTATTTTAAACATTTTACGTGCGCTTATTGCAAATTTACTAAAATACCGAAACATTTCTCAGCATTATAATAATTTTATTAATTTTACGAATTTTACAAATCTCCCAATTTTGTAATTTTCATTTCTTACCTTCCTTTTTATGCGTTTTTTGCAACTATGCAATGCAAAAACGCATATTGACGAGGAGTTGTCTGTGTGTCCGTGTGTGCGTCTGTCACGCACTTCCATCTCAAGACCCGTAAAATCTGCGGAGCTGAAATTTCGGGAACTTAATCTACATGCACGTGCTGGCCCCAATCCCCAAAATGGGCGCCAACACTCGCGTGGTACCCGCGTACGGGCCCCCAAAGTTTTTTCGGGTAAGTTCATAACTCGGGGATCTGAGAAGCTAGAAAGCTGAAATCTTAGGGCGATGTTCCCTGCCCAACTAGGTATTAACAAGTTCAGACTCTGCCCGCGGATAAGCGTGGCACCTATGTACGGGCCGTTGAAAGTTTCTTCCGGGTAAGTTGCTAGCTCGGAAAAGTGAGAAGCTAGAAGACTGGGATTTTGAAGGGGTGTTTCCTGACAGTCCTGGCGGCCAGTCTGGAATTCTTTTAGCTAGAGGCATCTGCCAGAAAAACCAGTGCCGTTAGCGACAAAAACCTGCGAGAAGCTATGCAAAAAACGCATCTTCGCATGGGCAGCCCGTGCGTTGGCCAATTTTTTATTCTTATTTCATCGCTTGTTAATTTTTTACCTTTCTATTTCACTTATTTTGTCCAGTTAACAGCAGATGAGTGAGTTTCAGATCGGAATCGCATCGCCCGACATTTCGGCGTGGCTTCGATATTTCGTTACCTCTTTGGAATCCTCATATTTCATCGTCTTTCACTGGTACTACTGCTGCTCCGTTGAAGGAGGAATTTTTGTTTTTTATTGTTGTACCAATCAAATCGGCTATCTCGCATAATGTCAAAATGCTTTTGAAAAGTGTCTTTAACTGTGCGGATTGCTTGGTGATTGATGATTGCGTTGATAACAATGTTGATAATTGCAATAGCCATATCACTGATCACGATTTAGATGCAATTATCCAGGTGAGATCCTTTTTTTTAAACAATTTCTTTATCCATCCGTTTTTCCTGGAAAAGATCATAAAGCATACAAGCGGCATGGCGCAGCGATAAATAGCACTGTTATGTAGTAAATCGATAGTTCGACTCCGCTGATCGCAGAGCCAGTCTCTCTACGATTCGTTCATTCATTTCGATGATATTATATTGGCAGTGGTGTATGCTATAGAGTCAAACTCGTCATCAGATTGCTTGTAAGCAACCTTCGAAAGAGGTAACCATCAACAGCCTTGCCAGCGAATGGTTGCTGTTAGCATGTTCTCACTCCGCTTTTATGCTAATTTCACATTTCTTATTTATATCACACTTAACAGAATATTTGAGCAGCTGTATATCATCGGCATTCGTTGTCACGCCATCGATGCAGCGCTGGCAACTTCTCCATTCGATTCGTTTTTTTTGCGCTGTCCGAGTCCACGCAGTATCATACAGACATGCCATGGGGCCTCGCCACCTCACTGGTGGCCTCCCCAGTGTTAGCTTGATAGTGCGTGGGTACCATTCCATTATCCGCTTCGTCCATCTATTATCTGACATCCGTGCCACATGACCAGCCCATCTACCATAGTAAGCGAAAAAGAAAAAAAAGGGAAATTTATACCTTAATGAGAGAAAATGACTTAGTTATGAGAATTGTTGTTTTTCAGCGAAGTGAATTCACTTTAATTGATGATCGAGTTGCTGGCTATGAGTTGTTGCTAATTTCTGCTTTGCGCCATGGTTCCATTCCGATCATTATCTCTGATACAATTGTTCTCCCTTTTAACGAAGTCCTCGATTGGAATCTGTTAGTTACTGTTTTAGGAAATATTAGAAGGATTGGATTAAAGTGTCATATGTAAGAAGACATGTTATGGTGCAGCCACTATGTTTCATCCCTTAACTGTAAACACAGACCAAACAACTGTGCATGCGGGTAGAAGCGGGAATCATCAGTACAGCCTCCTATCTGCCATGTACGGAACAGTCATGTAACTAATTTGCAAGACGGGTATGCGAAGGAAAGAAAAATCAGAGAAAGGGGGCAAACAAAGAGCTTTTGGATTGACCATAATTCATAGTCTTTTTTCCCAGCTATTGTAGCTAGCAAATTTTCCGATCCTTTTGACGAGTAGTGCCTCGCCTGATAGCATGCTGACGATCTTCATTGTTTCACCTCGTGAAAGAATTGCTAAGAAATGGGTTGGCGAAGTTCTATTCGTTGCCGTATATCCTTAGAGCCTATTCAGCTTCACTGCTTAGTGCCAAAAGTTGACAATTTTATAAAAACAGCGGGGATATTTTATGACTTTGGGAAAAAATAATAACTGTAAAAAATTCGCTTTAGAAAACTGTAAAAAATCCATAAAATTCGCTTGTTTTAGTTGAATTCGCTCTATTTTTTTTTCTTCGATTTCAGCTTCTCGATGACATTTTATCGCAGTCGTTTATCATCCGTGCAATCAATCCTGAGATTGTTATCGTTTCAACGAAAGCAACAAATGCGCGAACAGATTTCATTTGTATATGAGCGATATTTTTCGTCGCTTCAAAAAATCGTCCTTACAACTTTGAAAATCCTGGAACGGCGTATCATATCTAACTCATTCGTAACTTACGATGCCTGGAATCGTGATCCACGAAAGGTATTTTGAAAGTGAAATTTTTATGAACATTTGTAGATGGAATATTCTTCCAGATCTTCTTTTTTCCGGCACCTTTTATCTAAGAAAGAAAGACTGATGCGATGAAAATATCTATACTTCTGTGTATAATTTGTCGCCGTAGCGATATGACAATTTTTATACATTTTTTGCACCTATGCAATGCAAAAACACATATTGTTGAGGGGTTGCCTGTGTGTTCGTCTGTACCGATTTTTCATCTCGAGACCTTCAAAAGCTACAAGGCTAAAACTTTGGGAACTTAATCTACATGCATGTGCGGGCCTCTTCTTCAAAGTGGACGCACTTGCCAGCGTCATCTCTAAGTCAAAGTTTTTATCGGGCAAGCTGCTATCTCGAGAATCAGAAAGGCTAGGAAGCTGGAATTTTAAGGGGATGTTTCCTGACAGTCCTGACGGCCAGTCCCAATTCTTTTAGCTAGAAGTATCTGCCGGAAAAAAAAACAAAGTCGTTAGCAAACCTACAGGGAACTATGCAAAAAACGCATTTCCGCACCAGCAGTCAGTGCGCAGGTCATTTTTTGATTGTGAAAGATAGGGTTGCACGTTAGGTTTTCGGCGTAGATATCTCATGTTAGTGATGCTGCAGTAATTGCCGAGCTTTTCGATCCTGAACTTCATATTTCTAGCTAATCTTCACCGTTTTTTCGATATTGGAGCGCCATTTTTTTGAAGCCGCTTTATGTTTTTTTGTTTGTTTTCTCGCGGATGCCACTCACTAAAACGTTAATTAATTTAAAATTCTTTAACCTTCGGGAAAAAAACGACTTTGAGTGTAATTTTTTGCAGCAACGCGACTTAGCACCGTTGTTTCTTCCATATCATGCTCACTCGGATGGATTTACGGCTGTAATTTTGACATATAACAAGCCGGATTCATTGTTTTCCGTGATACGATTGCTATCTCGAGTACGCAGTTTACGAAGTATTGTGATTGTTTGGAATCATTGGAGCCAACCACCTCCAGGTAACTTTCTTTTTTTTTGAAACTGAGCTTTCTTGTAGAACTTTTTCTGGGTTTGTTGTACTGAGCAACTGATTTTTGGAGATTTTTAAGCTCTTACTTTTCACAACGCTAAGTTTATCGTGCATATTTGGTCCTCTTGGTCGTTAAGACACCTCAACGTGAGCCAAGGATTGGTGTCCGAATGCGGAACGAGTTGATGATGCGCCAAATATATCCGGGAAATCTCGGAAAGGCTGGCAGTTTGCCAACTGGCTCTATGGGGAAACTTGCAGGAAGTAAAATGAGAATCAAAAGTATGTACAGACTACCGCCGGGCGATTCAGTATTGGTCAAAAAAGACTGAAAAAGTAGAAATTTGCAGAAATTGAGGACTAAACTATGATTTACTTGTGATTAAGGTGTTTCAAGTACTTTTTTTGGCCTTTATTGAAGAGAATCTCACGACCGTCATTAGGTGCATTTTAGAGCTAAAAAGAAATCAAAGAACGTGATGCGGCTCTCACCCCGTTTCTAAACAACAAAAAAAAAAGCAAAAATCGGAAGTAAAAATTCTCTGTGTATTCACTTTCTGCGAAAAAAAGACGAAGACATTTTGAATTATTTGGATGACGGTAGGTGCCAACAGTAATTCGAACACTAGCCGAGTTTCACCTGTTTATTTCACCAAGCGTTGCACTGCATAGATCAAACCGTACTCACTTCACACTGCAGCCAATTTTGACCAGCCCAGTCCTTAGAGCCGATCCTTTTCCCGAAGTTACGGATCAG